GGGGAGGATTTTCATCCAGGGTCTTTGTCCGTCTGCTGGGACATTATCTTTAGGTTAGCTCTAACAAGCAGGGTCGAACCCTACCTTCTAAATTTCTAAATGATAAACATTTTGTTTTTAAGGAGTGTCCATTCCCAAGGGGGAGGAAGTATTTTGATGAGAGTGCAAGTTTGTCTGCTTGAATATTGTATCCTTTTCAATTTCAGATGGAGTCAGAGCAGTCTAGTTCCTTAGGTATCTAATTGTGTGAATGGGGACATAAAACATATTATGTGAGGCATGGTGATGAAATCAGGTACTTGTCAAAGTAATGTAATTGAAGAAAGCGGCATTTTCCTGCTGATTAACAATTTTTATCGGATATTTGTTTTATGGCTCAACACCTTTTATGTCAATTTAAAAACACATTTCTGTGTTGATTTTACTGAAAAAGGTTAATTTAAAGCACAAAAAATGTAAATTATTGTAAGTTTTCAAGGACTTTTATGCTATTGAAGTCACCAAACTTTGACGGCGATTTTCTCGCTAATTTTACCTCTGTAACCAGGGGACTCTCCACCGTATTCAATTGCAAATATCTCGACATTTATTCAAGTTGAATGGGTATTTTTTAAATTAAAAGACAAGTGAACAAGTTTTAAGGTGATACCAATAACTTAACATGCCCAAAAATCGACGAGCGCCTGATTCCACCGCTTCGTGACACAAATTGTGTGGATGTGGTAAGACATTCATTAAGTTCTGCTTTGCATATTCCACCTTGGTATCTCATATATTTGGTGAAAAGATATACATTTTTTTTGTTTTTAAAAAAATCTTTGTTTGACCAATTTATCACATCAGACTTAAGTTGTACATTTATTTTCTGATATTATTGGATTTAATTTTTTCCGTTGGTTTTTTTTTGTTTTTCTTGCAAATCCTAACTTGACTCCACTTTGGAGCTGAAATTTTGTCATCTTTTGTTTTAATAACCATCTCTTGTTTTGATATCCATCTTTTGTTTATATTTATATATATGTATTTATTGCTCTTTACGTAGCTTACTACAGTTCTGAGTCATTCTGATTGAGTAGTGAACGTCGAGTGTTGATTTGTCGTAGATACCATCTGGAAAGAGAGATGGAGACGAGAAAAAAGGGGTAGGGGGTAACTGTCCATTTTGTGTGTGGGTGGTTGAATGTTTCGTTTGAACTTCTATAGTCCATTGCAAGGTTTTAGCTTTGTTTGCTGTGCAAGTATGAATGTTGGTTTGTTTTGGTGAATGAAATGGTGATTTATGTACATGTATGTATGTACGTTTTATGTATGAGAATGTATATATATATATATATGTGGACAGTCAGACCGACTGACAGATATTCAGACAAACAGACAGACAGGCAGGCAGGCACACAGACAGACAGACAGGCATACAGACAGACAGACAGACAGACAGACAGACAGACAAGCACATGTAGCTGGGCAATGAGACAAGAGATCATTTTGTTTTAAATCTTTTGTTGCTTACGTTTATAGCTCATGGTTAGCTGTAAGTTCTGATGGGAAAAGCAAATTGATATAATTTATGTGCCTGTGTTGCAGTTTGCGAAAAAGAGGGGGTGGGGGTAGGAAGGTGGAGAAAGAGAGCGGGAGGGAGGGGGAGAGAGCAGGAGGGAGGGGGAGAGAGTTCAGAGAGTTCGAGAGAGAGAGAGTTCAGAGAGTTCGAGAGAGAGAGTTCAGAGAGTGAGAGAGTGAGAGAGAGAGAGAGAGAGAGAGAGAGAGAGAGAGACAACTGCCAGCAATTGTGAGTCAACTGTGGAAGGTGTCACATATATATTCCTCTGCAAAATTCTTCCTTTTACGATATTTTCTATTAAAACTCACACTCAATAATTGTTTCATTTTTTTATCGTAATAATTGATGATGGACATGATAAACTGATTTTGATGATGATGGTGATGACATTGACAATGATCATGCGCACGTTTCTGCAGAGACGAGTAATCTGCTTGCTTTGATATATATATTATTATTTATTTTCTCAGGAAGGAAGGTTGTCATGATCTTTCTTGAATGTGTATTTGTATTTCTTATGGATTGGATTTGCTCTTCGTATCTTCATGCTATTCTGAGCAGACCAGTAAATTCCTTTAGTCAGTGTACATTCTGCATCATTTTCTTGTACAAAATCTGCAAATACGAGACAAAAAATAGTGAAATAAAATAACAACAACAAAAAAAGTTAATTTTGTTTTGTTTTGTATATGGTGACAGCAGGTGTGACGCTATTCACTGTAATACTTCAATAATATGAAACACAAAATTAAACAATGCCATTACAATTATGACGAGTTATGTTTCTTTTTTGAAAACTCTTTGTGGGTGTTTTGAAGATGCCACTGGTAGTGGAAGGTCCTGCTTTTTTTGTCTTTCCCTTAGTCGTCGTTTATGGGCGACTTTTTTTTCTTTCTGTGGTGTGTTTTGCTCCGTCTGTTCTACCAAACGTCGATCGTTCTTATTTCTCCTACCTCTTTTCTCTGTATGTTATATGTGTGTGTGTGTACGTGTGTGTGTGTATGTGTGTGTCCGTGCGTGCGTTGGCTTAGTCCTGTTGGAAATGGATTCGATTTTGGAGGCCCTGTTCTTTAAATTAAATAGCCTAATGGCTCGTACTCGCACACACCAGACATCCGCGTTCATGTGGTATCATGCTTTCGTCTAACGCACGAACGTGTTCCCATTCACACCTACCATCCGTCTGTTCGTGCGTTATCGTGCGTGTTTTATAAATCAACATGGAAGTGAGGACTGAGAACACACTTCAGAGAGTAGCATAGCTCTATGGTTACACTTAGCTTCGTGGTCCTTTTGGTTATTGTTATTGGACTCGGTGAAAGAGCGGTCGGTCACAACACGAGAGCAGATGGTGGGTGGTTGGCGGGTTCTCTGGTGTAGTTTGCTTCTTCTTTCCTACCAAACGTCTATCGTCCTTATCTCTCCCCCTTTTTGTGTGTTCGTTACACCCTTGTAGCACCTCTAATCTTTTGGCGCTCATATAACCTTATTCTTATATATGCAGTTGAGGGCGCTGTAAAACCTCTATTAAAACTAAAAAAGAGAGCAGATGGATGGAATTTTATGGCTGCCATCAAACTCACGCCACGCACGAACGACAACTACGTCATGTGGATCTATTACTACCGCATATGAACACGAACCGTTGGTGGGAACGCAGAAAGGGCCCAAATAAGTACATGTAATAAATTCTTTTATGCGTCCCATCCACAATGCCACAAGAACGCTGATGCTTGGTGTGAACGAACTGTTACGGTACTCATTGTTGAAAGTGGCGTTTGATTTCTTACAACAGTAACCAGCTTTTTAGAAGCTCGCTCTAACAGCATCACAGCTGGCCACGATTTACCAAGCGCTGGTAAACTTGATTCTTTAAGCGACAAACAAGCAACTGCTGAAAGAAAGATACCCCCCCCCACCCAAAAAAACAACCAAAAATTCCCAGCATCAAACAAACAAACAATCAAAACGAACAAAAAAATCTCCCCCCCCCCAAAAAAAAAAAACAAGGCCAAAAAAACCTATAACAAACAAACTAACAATCACGCAGACAAGCAAATAAAAAAAAATCTATTTGAAAAAAACCAGGCTGTGGTCTAGTAATGTATATTTTATTAATATTCATGTTTACTAAACATGTTTATATGAACAATGTAGGTTAACACATTGAATAAATGACTTAGTGAGGATGGAGACACGATTGAGCAAAACAATGATACATCATGCACAATAACAACGAAAAATGAATTTTTGAAGAAATAGAAGGGAAACCGTCAGGCACTGGTTCTGAGAAAGAGAGTTCCCATGTTGCGATGGAAGAGTAAAGTGAGTTTTGTTTTCAGATTTTTTGTATTTTGTGTGTGTGACGTGGAAATAGGAAAGTGGTGAACGAGAGCCAAGGTATTTATTGTGGTTTATGTCGAGTTTTATTAACCGTCCACTAACAGTTTAGACTGATAAGCGAAGAAGAGGATCGGATGATGATTCATTTTAGATTTGTTTTATTGAAGAAATGCACAACTCGAAGGCACTCCTATTCCAAGGTTAAAGTAAAGTAAAGCCGGGTTGAAACCCCCCAGCTGCCGCCCACACTGATGTAGATGTGGGAGAAGTATGAAGAGACATGGCTGGCACTAAGGAGTTTTGTAATGCTGGTGTGGCATATGGAGGAGAATGGACACTGTGGGTGTGTTCACTACCTCTGAGACAGGCAACGTGTGGGGATTTGTGAAGTGAGTGGGGGTGGGGGTGGGGGGGGGGGGGGGACGGCGGCTAAGTGATGAGGTTAGGAAAGGATAGGAGAAAAAGAGTTGAATTATAAGGGAAAGCATTTTCTGTTTGTTACTTGTCACATTGTGTAAGTACATGTACTTAAACGCACAACAATATGTTGGCATTCTAATACAACGACATACTCTTACTATAAAGATATAATATAACAAAATCTAGAAGCACGATGAACGAAAAAAAAATGTCACTGAAAAAAGCGCAAACATTATGATTAAATAGACAAAGGACATTGATCTACTCGTAAGATGTTAATTCTATTTCTGTACACTATCACAGCTGTGCTTGTCTCTAGCCTAAGATTACACTCAAAAACATAAACGTAAACTTTAACCCTCCATTTGGAGCGTACGTGACCTACTGCGTACATCCAGGATCTCCACAGTCGTTCAGTGAGGCTTCATTTAGCCGTGAAGACATGGGAGAAATACGCTTGTTTGTAACTTATTCAGGAATGAGTGTCTGGATTTACCCCTCCCACAAAACCACGTCTTGACAGATTTCTGAAATTCTCAGCAAGAGAATCAAAGTTGTTAGTTCATTTACGAAATTTAATTAAAATGAAAAATGTCCTGCCGTAACAAAATAGACAAGGCCTTTCAAATTGTAGTAAAATACGATGCCATAAGAAAAGAAAACATGACTGAAACCCCCCCCCCCCGAAATCAAGATGCACATGAAAATAACTAATAACTAAGAAACAGTGTGCATGCAAGTCCTTGGTATACTCTTGATAAGCTTTAATTCCGACGGTACAGCCACCATATCTAAAGGAAAACAATAGTTATGAAAGTAACATGCAAAAAAAAAAAAAACCCATTTAAAAAACAAAGAAGAAAAAAACAAAAACAACAGAAACGTCTCTATACGAGACCCCGAAAAAGATAATGTAATATATAGGCTATCGTCATATAATACAGAATAAAATACTGAAGTGAAGGATAATCTTGTGAAAAGAAATCCAGCTTGTCTTGGATGCTCTCTTGCCCCACATGATTTACATGCGTGAAATAATCGATGTGAAGGTAATACTGATATAATGTAATGATCGACAGCCGTGTGATTATGGTATCATGATTTATTTTACACTTCTCTGTGTATTGGTATCAAATTTAATCATTAATAACATCAACGTCACACACTTATAATTAAATGGTTGATACTAGCGTTATTATGTTCGTCTAAAACGCGAGCAATATATTATATTCCTATTTCCTGCAATCTTTGTTATTTCCTTCTGTCCTACTTTTACATATACGACCGTTATCGAGCATGTGGGTTTCTCTTTTAACTCAAGTAAAGCAGTAGGGTAATTAGACTTTGGCGTGTGACGAGTGCAGTTCTAAGCCCGACGTTCCCGATGTATAATAAAATTAACAAAGTCTTGCTAAACAATATTCAATTTACACACATTTTTATATAAATTTTTTCGTGAAAAGACAATATCTGATGATAAATGTGAAGTATTGCTTAATTCAGTGGATGTGAAAGATGTCACTCTCAGAATCTGAAGGAGTAATTTTAAGAGAAAACGTACACGATTTTGTATGCATGCACCCAAACGCAGTGTATTCAGATCACAATACTATTATAAATCTCCACGGACCTGGCATTTAACTAACACAAATCTGTTGCTCTTCACGTTTCAACATTGCTTCTCTACAAGTTTTAACATTGCTTTCCCAAGATTTAACATTGCTTCTCCAAGTAACATTGGCTAGCTGGTGGACTCAAGACTCAGTGTGTGGGGAAGATGGTGGCCGGCTCGAAGGGCGTAGGTGTCTTCCTGAGCCAGGGTGTGTTCCGCCGGAAGCCGTACTTGCCGTTATAGCCGGACACACAGCGGATGCCCTGCATGAACTGCGCATGTCCATCGATCGTGTCCTGGGAGTGACCTGTGGTTTGCATAGGGAAGCATCGTGAATGACAGAAGGTGGGTTAGGGGCAGTTAGGGCTTTGTTTCTTAATAAAGTGAAGGATGTTATAGCACATGATTAAAGAAGTATTAAGCATTTCTTTCGTCCCTTACAGTATATATATATATGTATATACACGGGGGCTAAAAAGAGGACCCTTTTAAAAGGCAAAAACTCCGTAATCTTAGAACCAATTGAAACAAAATTTCGAAAAAAAAATAATAAAAGACAACCAAGGGGGCATCGGAGGTGTCAAGAAAATCAACCTTTGAGGTCGAGAAATATAACGGTTTTTTAAAAAAGAATTTCAACAAGAAAAGAGTATAAAGCAAAACTTTACAACTTTTTAAATATCAATTGTAATCTCCATATTTTGTCAACTAAAGATCAACTAAATTCAAAACTGACTTTGTCATCGATATAATTTTGATGCAAAGAAGACAGAGCCGAAGATAAAAATGTGGGTTATAAACTTATTGAAAACAAAACTATCAAATTCGGAACCAGCGTATCAAAATTTAAAAAAAATGATTAGGGAATAAATCTTTGTTCTTGGTGGATTTAGAAGATCAAAAAGAGAGAAATATTGCAGCGTGTAGAATTTTATTATCACAAAGAGTACCGGCAACTATCACTTTTAACTGATCGTATAAAAGGCCTGTTGCAACCCTAGAGTTTATAATGTAGGCTCTGATGATCATGGACCGGCGTCCATGATGTAGTGGTTAGGTGTTTCCCCGTTACACGCAAAAGACCTGAGTTCAATTCCTTACCCCTTGGGAAAATTCATATCTAGTATCTGTCTTTTTGACGGAACGTTGTGTCCTTGGCCCTGACAGGCAGGGGCAGATCCTGCCTTCTACAATATTATTATGCGAATTGAATCGAGGGGGGGTAAAACATTTACAAAAACCCCCACCAAAAACATATTTATCCACCAATCCCACACAATTGTAAAGCTATAATAAGAGAGTCTGAAGAAATAGAAAAAAAATAAAAGCGAAAAGATGACACTTATAAACCTACTGATTTAAATATTATGTTGATTCACCCCCCCCCCCCAACCCTGAAATTTATCCTGTGGAGCAGGAATTTGCTGTACACAAATGCCATAACTTATACTATATAATGTGGTAATATCACAAACGTCTGACTGACCTGCTCCATTCTGGTTCCTCAAGGACAAGTAGTTGAACCCCGCCCCCTTCTCGTGGAATCTGTCGAGCACTGGGCCTTCAA